GCAGAACCGTACCCCTTCTTGCCCACGCTGTGCCAACAGCCACATGGCAAACAATAGTCCAGAAACTGCACCGATAAGCAAGGACAAACCTACACACAAATAACGCCCATGTCATCAAGATCAGTGTACATTACAAATTGTTAAATGAACTTTAACCAACACCTTGACCGAATACTGAAATGACATATTGAGCAGGTCAGTATTTTTGACAAGCAAGCAGGCAAAATCAGAAGCAAATATGGCACAAAAGGAAACAAACTGATATTTAGAGCACTCTATGCCCTAAAGGCTTTTTTAGTTCTAACACAAGAGAGTCTGATTGAAACCTTGATGCATATAAAAACCACACTCTTTAATGCAGCTGCAAACAACACGTCACAGTTTACGCTACGTCCGAACACAATACACTGATCTGGGTCACAACAAAGCGTTCGAGTGAAACCACAAAGGTTTCTAAAGAGAGCAATCCCCAACCTAACTTGGTACCAGCTGGCAAAGGAAATTCCACTCGTGTGCCACACGCTGGATGTTTGACTTGCCTTCCTCTGCTTCGACGGCAGATCGAAATCTTTCACGACTCAGTTAACTCTCTTCACGTGTGATAACCAAGTTTTCGTTCTGGTGGTGCTCATCTATCGCTGTTTTAATTTAAAGGCAGGACAACAAAATGCTAAACCCCTCTGAATTCAAGATACGTAAAAAATTGGGGGGGGAAAAGTGAATTCATCAGTATTTCCCATTAGAAACTGTTGCCAGCAATCCAGCTCTCCAGGTCCATAGCAGAACTCCTGCCGAGACACCCACCTGTTCCTTTTTTCCCCTGAACATCTCAAACTGATTCAAACTGCCCCGTTTACATTGATGCTACACACTGTGACCTTTGGCAACTTCGGGGCAGCTCTGGCACCTTAAACAAACGGTATTTTAGCAACCAGTAAAGACAAGCCAGCGGGGTCTGGCTTGATTAATTCTTTATTAGCACCTTTACAGAGGTTCCTAAGAAACTATGAGCCACTTAACAGTTAAGACTAATGAACAAGCGATGAAATAGAGCAAGGAGCCACAAAGATGTACAACACAGCAAAGTACAAAGGTTATTTTTAAAACAATAATTTACATTTATTTGGTTTCAACGACTGCAAGTAACACCAGAAGAGAAACCCACGTGCTTTGTACACAAGAACGCAAACAGCACCTGAATTCACGTTTTGTCTCACTCCGACTAGTACTGTGGTAAGTCTTTTGCCCCTCCTAAATTTGTATTGAAATGAATTTTAACGAAAAGTATTGTAACTTCCAAATCAGAAATCAGAAGTGCTTTCCTCCAGTCAGCTCTGCGTACAGACGACGAGGCAGTACAAAAATTCCACGCCAAAGTGAACACCTTTAACTCTCTTAGGAAAGTTGAGTGCTGTGTAAAACGTATTCCTTTAGCATCCAGTGCAAGTATAAATTATTGGCTCCGATGAACCGCGAACTAAAAATAACGTATTAGCTGGTTTGCCCCAAAGAAAAGGGCTCTGTGTACCATGTAATCACTTGGACAGCAAGCTTCGTAGGAATTGCTTCTATAAACAGTTTCAGTTGCAACAGGGTAAACAGGAAAAGCCAAACTTAGACATACAAAAAAGGATGCAATGCACTATTCTGAAAACGTGGAAGAGTTGCCCTTTAAGGTAGTCAATCACCTCCAAATCTGAAAGTTTTCTGACTTTTTTTTTTTTTTTAAGTGAGAAAACATGGTTGTAAATAAACCAATTCATTTTCTAATGAACATTAAAATTCTCATTCTCTTGATTACACTTGGCGAAACCAGCTAAAAATATGGAGCTGAAGCCCTTGAGACGTTTGTAGATGTGGTGTAACCCTACGGAACAACGCTACCAAAGTTCAGTACCATAAAGGAAATAAACCACACATTATTAAACCAGGCAGCTCAGTACAACAGCACTGCTGAAGCTGGAAATCAGCAAAGAACAGCCCACTTTTACAGCCAAACGATGGAAACACGTAACGAGGAGGAAAACTGAACCTCTTGTAATGTCTTAGCCAAAAGACATCCGCAACAACACACTTGCAGGTTCATTACCTAATGGTACCCGAGACGACCTCAGTGTCACCCACAAATAAATAACTGATATCTACATTTTTCCTGTGAAACCTGCATGTTCTTCAGATTTCTGACCAGCTATGAACAACGTCAATCTTGATCATACACCATGAACGTCATCAATTCTCAGAGCCCTCCAGCTGCAGGTTATCTAGCAACTGGGTTACCCAAACAGCAAGATATTTACATTTTCCCTTCCGATGTTAAATCAGTTTGAACTAGTTACCTTTAGAAATGCTGTTCTTATGTTTGACTACATCACAGCGATACACCACCCACCCACATCCCAGGCTTCATTTTCCATCAGCAGAATCCCAAGTAATTTCAGACCTCATACGATGGTTACAATATTCAATGAATTAGGAAGAAAGAACACGGGGTAAAACGAAAACCTTGAGGAATCCTCAATTAACTTTTACAACAGTCTGAACTATGCAGGAGAAAAACAAAAACTTGCAATGCGTGCAGTAACTTGGAGAGTGATACCCCCTTTAGAAACGGCTCCTCAGAATTTTAAAGGTGTGTAATAGACTCTTTGGATCTGTCCCCCTCCATTAAGTCTTTTCCTCCAGAAAAGAAAAATAAACGTGAACGCTGCTCCCTGAGTCACTTACTGTAGTGCTTCATAAGAGAACACAAAATTCTTGAAATTAGTGCGTTTCTTTTTCAAATCAGAGGAATACCGTGCTGTTTTGTCGGTTTTGCCTTTTTTTTTTTTAAATCTTGTTCACTGTGCTCCTACTCCCCCCGCCTTTTTTTTTTTTTTCAGTATAACCCAGGACTTAAAATGACTCAACATCCTCAAATTGTGTTTGAAGAAAAACGTGGAAAACACCTACAGAGCTAGCACCAACCTAGCCTGTGCTTTTAGATCTCTGGAATCTTCTTACGACTTGCTTTACTGTCATTTTATACACTGAAAATTCTCATTACACTTAATGCCTTTTTGTATTCAGTAACGACCACTTAAAAGCAAGCGAGTCTTAAATCAGAACATATTTTTCTAGTGATTAAAATAAATCGATACCTGTGAACCTGAAGAAGATGAAAGAAAAATATGTTCCTCAACACCCTGCTTCTGTAAAAATCCTGTTCCCAGGCCACAGCCACCTCCACCGAGCGGTGCAAGAGCTGCAGACCGAGCGAGCAGTCTTCTTTTTGTCTTATGCAATTCACTTTGCTGCCATAAAGATGAGATAACTAAAGCTTAGCTGCATGAAATTCAAGTAATGGTGACAGGACTGGAAAACAGGGACCTGGAATACAGGCTGGAAGGACCTTCTGAGTCATCGTGCCCCTCAATGAGCCATTATTTACCCTCTTTTCCAAACGTATCAAGCTTTATCTTAAACCCAGTTCGTCTTCTGCCTACACCGTGCCCGTTCCCGAGCTCCACTCCTCAGCTGGTTAGGCAATCTCTAATTCCCAGCCCAAATTTATGCCTGCCTTACACTCGTTAGTCTTCACGCCAAGTGCTCCTTCAGCTTTTAAGTAAAATCTAAAATCCTCCAACCAGGAGCAGGATGATGGACAGAGGGCAGCCCCGTCGTTATTACAGTTTATCGTGACAGACGACGAAGCC